TCATTCTCTCCCTCTCCCTCTCGCTCTCCCTCTCTCTCTCTCTCTCTCTCTCTCTCTCTCTCTCTCCCTTTTTTGTTTCATTTGGGGAATTGAACTCAGGACCTTTTGCTTGCCAGGCAGGCGTGGGACCTCTGAGCTACATCCCGGCCTCCTGTTTTTAAGAGTGTGTAAAAGTGATGAAATACCATTTCCAAGATTAGATCTCACACCAAAAAAGACTGTGATTTCTCTTCTTCTTTTTCTTCTTCTTACTCGCCCCTTGCCTCCCCCTCGCCCTCGCCCTTGACCTCGCCCCCTCCTCCTCCTCTTCTCTCTGGGTTCTCCTCCTCTTCCTCCACCCTTTATCCCCTACCCTCCCTTTCTCTGAGCCAGGACCTCACACCTGCTAGGCAAGCACTCTACCACTGAGTTACATCCCCAGCTCTCTCTCTCTTTAAACCCTTGCTCATCGGGGGAGGAGCGGCTTCTTACCGAAAGCTACAAATGGCAGGGACGGATGTCTCTAGCCCACGGCCAGAGAGGCCCTGGGGCCTGCCAACTGCTGTCTAAGTGAGCTCGGAAGATGATTCCCAGCCTTGAGACTCCAGCCCTGGCTGCCACGTGATTGCAGGGCAGGGAAAACCGGGAGTGCCTGAGCCCTGGCAGCCAGAATTACAACTAGATTCCTGACCCCCCCGAAACTGTTAGAAAATAAGTTTATTGCTTGTTTTAAGCTGCAAAGTTTGGGGCAATTTGTTACCTAAATAATAGATAATTAATACAAAGATATTGCTTATTATTCAAATAAAGCCCCAGAACAGCACTATCCCTTTTAGAAAGCAAGATTCACTTCTCCGTGTTTTTCTTTAGTTTGGCCACCAGGAAAAGAACTGGTATGGCTCGACTTTAATAACTGTGCAAAGCCCATGGCCTGCCTATCTGTGTTCCTGTTCCTGGCCTTTCATTTAATTCTGACTTGTCTTTTTTTTAAGCCTTGATTTTTTTAGTTCATCTTTATGTTTTTCTGTAGTATATGAATTATGTTAAGCCACTTTAAATTTAGCTTACAGAGAAGCGAGGTATTCACGAATCACTTTACTTTTTTTTTTACTTAAAAATAGTTTTGCACTTTTGTGAAGAAAGTTTTGCACATGTTGAACACGAGGTGCCCGGAGGTGGAGCCGGGGAAGGTCATGTTATGGAAGCATGGTTCTGGACCTGTGGGCACAGTTAATCCGGATTGGATCAGAAATATCAAGTGATAATGACAAAAAAGAAAAAGAGATGGCAATTGATTGTCACCCTGGGGCCAAGGGCTCGCTCAGTCACGCACTGTGGTATCTTTAAAATCTATTCGTTGCACCAGACCCCAAGGTCCTTCCGCGCCGCCCGCCCCGCCCCTCTGGCTCTTACCCCGGCCCCGCCCTTCCCTGCCCCCTTCCCCGCCCCGGCCCCGCCCTCGAGCGTTCCGCCACTTGGCCCAGCTGGCTTCTTCCACTCAGGCCCTTCCTTCTCAGCCTTGCCCCGCCCTTCGCACGCCTCATCACCCCTCTAGCCCCGCCCATCTCCCTCCTAGTCCCGCCCCTTCCCATTGGTGGCCCCGCCTCTCCCCGTGGCCCTGCCCCCGCCCGTCCGCCGGCCTCCGTCCGTTGCGCGCCCCGCCCTCCCTCTCCGCGCCCGCGCTCGCCTTCCCAGCCCCGTCAGGAGCACTCCCTTCGGGGCGGTTGGGCCGCGCGCCTGTGGGGCGGGGTCGGAGGAGGAGACCAAGCCAATGGGGCGCGGCGGTGGCGGCGGCGGCGGCTGGGTCGGGCCCCGACGGGCGGCGGCGGCTGAGGTGGAGGCGGTGGGCGGCAGTAGCGGCGGTGGCGGCGGCGGCGGCTGGGTCGGGCCCCGACGGGCGGCGGCGGCTGAGGTGGAGGCGGTGGGCGGCAGTAGCGGCGGTGGCGGCGGCGGCGGGAAGATGGCGGCGCCCGTGCTGCTGAGAGTGTCTGTGCCGCGCTGGGAGCGGGTGGCGCGGTGCGCCGTGTGCGCCGCCGGGATCCTGCTGTCCATCTACGCCTACCACGTGGAGCGGGAGAAGGAGCGCGACCCGGAGCACCGGGCCCTCTGCGACCTGGGGCCGTGGGTGAGGTGCTCGGCCGCCCTTGTCTCCAGGTAGCGCGGCGCGGGGCTGGGGGCGCGGCGGGGGGCGGCGGCCTCGGGGCGGGGAGGCCGGGAGCGCTGAGGTGGCAGCGGGAGGCCGCGAGGTCGGGCGGCCGGGGTGGGGGGCGGGAGGCGGGCCCGGCCGGCGTGACAGGCTCCGGGCCCCGGCGGGGCGCGGGCTGGGGAGCGGGGAGCCTGGAGAGCGTCCGGATCGCCCCCGCCCGGGCCGGGCTCGGGGCTCCGCTTCCCCGCCTTCCTGCCGCCCGCCCGCACAGGTGTTTCCGTGCAGCGCAGGCCTCTTTGTACTCGGGGACCCGTAGACTTCAGAGTCGGGGACACTTGCGGGCGGCACGAATCTGACCCCACGCGGGAAGGCGACACCGCGCTTAACGTAGCTGATTTCTTGGGTTCCCTCTCTGTAGATTTCCGTGAGCTCAGGAGGGGGACAATGGCCAGAGTTTGGGTCTGGTTTAAGTTTGAGTAAAAGATGAATATGTTATGTGCAATGATGGTGTGTTAAGCGTTAGGATGACTTTTCAATGCTGATTGGTAGAATGGGATACCCACAAAAGATTTACAGATGTACTTTGGTAAGGTGTTTTGTTTTACTGGTAATTTAAATTTTAAAAAAATGTAATTGATTTGTCTGCTACATTTTATTTTAATACATTAAATTTTCCTAGGTAAGTTACTTTGGAGAAAAGAGTATTTACATTTTTAAAGGGGTTGTGTTTTTTGGGGGGCGGGTATTTCGAGTGAAAGTGATGATTTAAAATTGTGAAAGGGATGATTTAAAATTTGATCGTTTGTAAACAGTAATTACATTTAAGCAATTTCTTCCCCTCCTGTTCATGAGTATATTGCTAGGTAGACAGAAATATATATAGCTTATTAGTTTATTTTGACCCACATATTGATGATTACATGAACAAGCAGTGGAAGTTGTCTTCTGTTTACAAACTTCAAGCTACTTTTTCATGGACAAGGTACTCTGTCTCATTTGCTCTTAAACTAAATTCTTGTAGCTTTTTAGTGGGCAAATAGTTATCATTATGGCTGCTTCCAACATTTTAAAAAATGCATTTATAAAGTAGACATCAGCTTATAGTGCAGAATAAACTCATTCATTTCATAGTGTGATAAACTCATTTGTTGGTTATTTTGAACCAAGTTAAGTCTTATTGGACTCGTAGATACCCTTGGACTACCACTGAGTGTATTTTATGCAGACATTTTAATGTTATTTTTCTCTTTCGAAAGGACTTTGAAACTTAAAAATACGATGCAACAAAAGTTAGCTGAATGAATAAATACACAAAAGGCTGCAGCAGGATATTTAAAGTATTTAAAAAACAAGATATAAGAATAACTTAATATTAGATTAATGTGAAACTCAGGCAGAATTACTACCTATTTTAGATTTTTTTGGAAACATGTAGTCTATAAAACATTTAATTCTCCACTTGATACTTGAGATACAAAGGGTGCGTTTTTGTATATTTAAGTTTTTGAAGTTGACTTTTATTTTGTTTGAGACAGGGTTTCACTATGAAGTTCAGGCAGGCCTTTAACTGTACCCCAGGCTGGCCGGCGTCAGACTCATACAGTGATCCTCCTGCCTCAGCCTGCTGAGTGCTGGGATTATAGTCACGTGCCACCACGCCTGGCCTCATTTTTCTTTTAAAACGAGTTTTTGTTGGCCGTGGTGGCTTACTCCTGTCATCCCAGCACTTGAGAGGCTGAGGCAGGAGGATCACTTGAGAGTTCAAGGTTAGCCTAAACTACATGTGACCCTATCTCAAAAAATCAGAAAAAAGAAGTTTTTGAGCCATGTAGTAAGTATAGACAAAACATTTTCATAGTTATGTATACTTCAGAAGCCATGTTTTCATGCCCCCCCCTTTTATTTGGTGCTGGGGTTCAAACTTGGGGCCTTACACTTTCAAGGCAGGCAGCAGAACCACTGAGCTAAAATAAAGCACAATAGCTGGGCATGGTAGTGCACACCTGCAATCCCAGCACTCAGGAGGCTGAGGCGGGAGGATTGCTGTGAGTTTGAAGCCAGTCTGGGCTACACAGTGAGTTAAAGGGCAGCCTGAACTACATAGTGAGACCCTGTCTCAAAGAAACCAAAAAGACCAAACAAAAACAAACCCCGCAAATAATATTAAATAACAACTAAGGTATTAAAAGTACCTGAAAGTGGGCCAGGGATTTAGCTCAGTGGTTCCACCTCCTGCCTCGAAAGCGCAAGGTCCCAAGTTCGATCCCTGGTACAAAAAAAAAAAAGTATCTGAAAGTATAATTTAGACTAAAAATACCTGTAGCCCTTCATAGTTTTAAATTGAGAATTTAATAGTCTGTGACTGAAACTAGTTTTGTTTTTGATTTTTGGTATTTGGGATTGAACTTGGGACCTTGCGCTTTCGAGGCTGGCACCACTGAGCTAAATCCCCTGCCCTAGTGGTTTTTTTTTTTTTTTGAGATAGCCCAGGGCCTGTCTAGCCCAGGCAGCCCTGGAAGTGGTGGTGACCCTCCTGCCTCAGCCTCCCAAATGGTGGGATTACAGGCATGTGCCACCATGCCCCACCTGAACTACTAGTGTTTATGCAGCAGTGTACATAAAATATTTTAAATCTGATGCTTGCCAAAGGATAGGTAAGAAATAAGATATGCTAATAAGAGAATTACTTTACTTGCCACGTGTATACAGTAAAACTATTTTAAGAAATATATCCTAGGGCCGGGGATTTAGCTCAGTGGTTCTGCTGCTTGCCTCGAAAGCACAAGGACCTGAGTTCGATCCCCGGTACCAAAAAAAATAAATAAATAAAATAAATGTATCCAGTTTGATCACCCTGTTTATAAAACACTGTCATAATCATTTGTGTATGTGTATTTAATGGAGATAGGGAAATTTGGAAATTAAAGCAGCCCAAGTCCAAATTATAGACTGATTTTCTTTTGAAAGTGGGTAGAATAAGCATCATTAAACATCTTTATTTTGTCAAGGTGAAAAAGCCTTTAAATGAAAGCAGATTAATGGAGACCTCAAGTTTTTTTTTTTGTTTGGCTATTGATCGCCACATAGCAGTAGTAATGAAAGATGTGACTATTTTAGGAAAAGCAAGTTGGAACCCAGGAGTTAGAATTAAAAGTAAAGGATGAGGGCCGGGGATTTAGCTCAGTGGTTCTGGCGCCTGCCTCGAAAGCACAAGGTCCCGAGTTCAATTCCCGGTTCCAAAAAAAAAAAAGTAAAGGATGATTGGTTTCGCCGCCTGCTGCACAAGCACAAGGACCCGAGTTTGATCCCCAGTACCAAAAAAAAAAAAAGTAAAGCATGAGAATAGTTGATAATTCTGAGGAAAATCCTCTTCCAGGGTCTAATGTTAGCTCACGATTTTGGATTGCTTAAACTTTATTCTCACTTCTCTATTTGGAAGTTTCCTAATTGAAGTAGAATAAGGTAGGGATTAATGAGACAGTTTTGAGGGAAATGTGTGTGTGTGTAAAGGCCTCTAGTATTTTGGGAGGCATAATTACGTAAGAGTACTTCTAGACTTTTAGATTTCATAAGAACTATTTCCCCCCAAATTGGGAGACTGGAACAGATTTGCCAGTTTTAAAAATTCTCTCCAGTACAGCCAATAAAAAAACCACAACAATAACTCACACCACTGTCTATGGCCACCATCACTTCATTTAAAAAGGATATTATAACTCAGTTTGAAAGAAAAACCTCAGAATAAATGATCATTAAATTGAATCACTTAGCTTTGTTGAGAAGTTTACTTTCTTCTTCTTATGTCTCCCTGGTTTCCCATAAATTGATGACAATTCTGTTGTAAACCTTCATCTGCCTGCCAGCCAAGATTTAAGTAAGCACTTCCTAGCCCCTTGAGTTGGTTCACTGAACCTCAGACTGAAGGCTCTGGCTCCTAACCCTGCCACTGCCTGGACGAGTGGCCTCAAGCCGGCCACTTAGCTTCGTGGAGGCTCAGTTTCTGTGTGTTCAGGAGGGTTACTAAAGCATGCTCTGCAGAAATTGTAAGGATTAAAGGTAGCTGTTACCATTGATTGGAGATTTTACATTTTTTTTTGCAATGACTAATAATAAATGCCCTTAAGTAGAATACTTGTCTTGTTTTAAGTTGTTTATATATTTAAATATGAATTGTTTTAGTGCACTTTGTTGGTTATTCCATGGCATGGCATCAAGTTCCCCCCTACGGGGGATTGAACTCAGGACCTTGCACTTGCCAGGTGGGCACAGTGCCCCCAAGCTGCATCTCTGGTCCCCACCCCCAAGACTTGTGTCTCTTTTTTTTTTTCCGTACCGGGCATCGAACTCGGGCCCTTGCGCTTGCAAGGCAGGTGGCAAGACCACTGAGCTAAATCCCCTGCCCTAAGACTTGTGTCTCTTAAAAAACCATTTCTTTACTTTTCATCCCCCACTGGGACACAGTACTTTGTAGCACTGGAAAAGAATCTAGAAATTGTCATTGCTCTTGGCCGTGTCCAGCTCAGACTCAGGCTGAGATCCGCCCGGGTGACACAGGCAGTGACAGGTTGAGGTTAGCGGCTTGGTCCCCAGAGTACTTGTTTGAGCTGTTCCACCACCCGTGTTTCAGACTCTCGTGTGGATGATGCGCCTGCTGCTTCAGAGTGGAAGCTAGATGCACAATGAGGAGTCTTCTTTATGTTCCTCCCCAGGCAGGTACTTTACTCTTTTCCTTGGCAGCCATGAAACCTCACAGAGCCATTTTATGCATATACAAGGATAAAGGTGACCATATGATTCCCAGTTTTTTGTTTTTTGTTTTTGGTATCTGCGATTGAACTCAGGTCCTTGCGCTTGCACAGCAGGCGGCGAAACCACTGAGCTAAATCCCTGGCCCTGATTCCCAGTTTTTAATTAACTAGGTTTTTTGAGACAGGATGTTGCTGTGTAGTTCAGGCCGGCCTCAATCTTGGGATAATCCTCCTGCCTCAGCCTCCTGAATGCTGGGATT